GGATCACTGGCGGCCATGGTGGCACCCTGAGTCTGCAAGCGGGCTGCGTGAGTCGTGTTTATTTTGTGACGGGCATCATCCTCATGCAGATTCCCCTTGCCTTTGTCTAGGCGAGGCCGATCCGCTGTCCGGGATACCGACCCCAAGCTTTCCCTGGGTGAGCCAAGCTCACGCTGCCCAATCTGCCCCACCATCCTCTCTGAAGCAGGACGACAACAGATGTCACCTAGCCTGTTAAAGACTGAGGCTTTTCCACGCGCTGGGGTCGGTCCAGCTCGAAGCGGGGAAGCAGGGTGGGAGTGGGACAACGTCGTGTCCTGGGGCACCACCCCCTCATCGTTGCCTAGCCTGACGGCCAATGGCTGGGGTTGAGGAGGCAACGTCGTGTTCTCCCCCGTCCTTGGCATGAGTGCGCTGAGGACGGTGGGGTTCTGGGCCAAGCTGGCGATGATGGCCGAGAGCGCGGCCTGAAGCTGAGGGTCAACAGCAGGAGAGGCCGGTTGCGCCGAGGCATTGTCACCTTTCTCCGCGCGCTTCTTGTCCAAGCCGACGCGGGCGTCAGGGGCGCCGCCGTTGAGCTTGTTGCGCAGGTCTCCTGCGAGGTCGATGGCTTCCTGGAAGACATCCCCCCCCCCCCCCGACGGCCTTGTCGGCCGTAGCGTCCTCCTCGTGCTCTTGGTTCTCCTGTGCCTCAGGGATGGCTTTGCTGAGAAGGTTGCGGTTTGACTTAGTTCTTCCCATTGTCAGTTAGCTATGCTTGGTAGCGACGAAAGAGGCTAACTTGATTGTTCTAGCTCTCAATGAAAGCACCAAATGATATACTATAAGTCTAGAGAGAAGTGAGAGCTAGAGAGAGAAATGCAATGAGTTCTGTAATTAATGAATTTATCAACCCCTACAACTACCTCCAGAGGAAGTATTTATAGGAAAAATGCGGGCTGGGCTCCCAAGCCTTGGGCTTGGGAGGCCCATTTACAACTGGAGCGCTATTGGGCCGAATACAAAGTAAATGGTAGAGTATACAAATGATTAAGTGTCAAATCCTGTTCTGGGAGTTCTTTATGGCCGACGAGGGTCTGGCCGACGAGTGCATGGCCGACGAAGAGCCGGCCGACGAGGTCACCCGGTTCTTCTGGCTTCCGGATCATATTCTGGGTTGACTTCGTTTCGTCCGATGAGGGTCATCTGGCCGATGAGGGTCCCACAAGGTGACAGTTGTGCCTTCTGTTCTCTTGAGCATGTGGGTCCTGGGGTCTAGACCCATATACTCCATCAATAAGTTAAGTGATTTTAAGTTATACAGAAGATAAAAAGTTTGTCACATTTCAATTTTTATAACATCTTGAAAACTCATAGAAGGTCAACCTGTTCCTTTCAATTTTCATATAAAATATACAGTTTTTTTTTTCTACTTTAACGTTCCAGACTCTTTTCTATTTCAGATTGATTACACATTAGAGGTTCAATCTTATAGCATACTCTCACAGATTGACTTAAGGACATAGAATCTGTTTATTTCACTTGTAAATTAAAACAAACACAAATGGCAGACACAGTGAAAGTTTTGAAAAATGATTTTAGTTTTCCTTAAAAATGATTTCAAAAAAAGTGTAAAAACAGTTTACTCATTAGTTTTATATACTTGTGCTATGCTTTAATGTCATATAAGCATGCCTTTAAAATACTTTAAGATTGTATTTTACTTCCCTCCCAATAGAAGTACAACTTTAAATAATTCTCTAAGATTTTAAAAATTGTTTACACATTAAGTACAATCTTAAAAACTATGCAGTAGTTTTTTTTTACTTTAACATTCCATGCAGTTTTAAGGTTTTGAAAAATGATTTTTCGTTTTCCATAATAATGATTTTTGAAAAACTGTAAAATTGTCTTTCAAAAAGGTGACAGATTAACTTAAGATCACTGAAGTTTAAAAAACAAACTTGTAAAAAGGTTACCTTTCTTTGTACTCTTGAATTTCTGAAAGAGGGGAGGGAGTTGATATGCAACTTTGTTCCGTGGTATGCATTGGTTAGTCCCAATGTCCCTGTGATTATTATACAATATTTGTATCTTTATAAAATAATCTAATTACAAAAGTATGAAAATTAATTATAAAATTCTACCGTTATATATTTTGGTCTGACATATTTGTACGATTAAAAAGCATTCTCCTTGATTGTTGTCCAAGTATTCCTTAATCTCCTCTGCCAACTTTGCCTACAATGAGCACTTCATTTTATTGCCTCTGGAATAAAAATGCAATATTTATTAACTGTATATTATTAATAAAAACATACTTGAGATCTTCCAAAAGAACCTCAAATAGATTTGTCTTCTTCCCATCAATCACTACCTCCGTCATTTTCATGTCCTTCTTGACAACTTGTGCAATTATATCTACACAAAAAGTAAAATTAATTAAATAACATTGTTAGAGTGTTGTTTAAACATAATGCTAGGGTTAAGAAGATGCAAAGAGATCAATTCAAAGGTTAAGAAGTTGCAAAAGTTTGCTGAAATTTAGTATAAGTTTGAGACTTACTAAAATATGACATCTCATATTTGCCATCCAAAATATCATTGAAGCTAGCGAAGTCAAAATGATGCTTAGGCACACTGCTCAACATCAGGTTCCCGACCCTAGGTATTCCTAAAAAATTGAGACGATATTTGTGGGTAGTGTGTTATTTGGACTTCGAGTCGTTCATAGCAACCAATAAATTCTCGAAGTAATAAGCATCCCCTTCTTGCAAAAGTGGTTCGAATTTTGAAATAAGTGCTTTTTTCACAGTAGCATTTATCCTGATACTCTACAATAAAGTAACACAATGTTACTTTCAAAAGTGTAACAAAAATTAATGTTGGGATTACATCACAGCAAATATATTAAATGTAAATTACCTTTTGATCCAGTAGGATCATCTCCAATGAATCAACAATTTCCGGTTTTTTAAAAGCTGGAACGTGCCACATACGAATTATACCAACATGAACTCTCCATTCAATAGATCCGGACTGAATTTCATCAAGATGCACCGTCTTAACCGGCATTGTCAAATGAAGATGAAAAATAATTTTCTAATATGAAGTGTGTAAGAATTTGATGGGGTGAAATGAATTCTTTTATTGTTGTTGTTTATATAGGTATATATTATTTAGGTTTTGTAAACTTAAAAACTTCATTTAGCATTTTTGTAAACTTAATTGCTGCAACATATGATTCGTGCAGGGCTTAGTTAATTGCGGCAATGTTTATTATGGAAATAGAGATGATAAGATTATGGTAAGATTCCATGTTATAGATTTCACGTGTATTTTACTTGTAAAATTCCAATTCTTCCATTGTTCTTGTGCGAGCGTTGAAATAGCTAGAGATTGGTGATTGTAAAAAATGCTCTCATATTTGGTCAGTCATATATTTTTTCGTAATATACTGCCATAAATGCTCTCATTTATTGTGTGCATCTATACTGCCATAAATGCTTCGTTAGAAATTTATTGCATCACATATACATATGGCAATTATTATTTTTTGATCATATATACATATGGCAATTATTATTTGCTCTCATAAATTTATTTCTCTAAAGATTTCACTTTGGTTGTAAAGCATTGAATTAATAATTTCAAATAAAGCATTAATTTTGAAAAGCTTAGTAATCAATAATTTCCTCTTATAGTGCCACATATTTTTCGGTATATTTGATTAAGTTTTTCATATTCTCTTTCTTAATGTGTTTAGTTTACAACGTATTATTCGATAAATTTTAATAAGTTACGTAGTACAACGTAATATGGTCAGGAATTATATGCTCCATATTATTTAGTAATCGGAAATTTTATGGCACAGTACATTGCTAATTACACTTTATTTTGATTTTTAGTTTGTTTTATACACTTTTTATATATAGTAGGATTCCTTCCCATGTATACTACTACGTACTATACGTACTATATATACTCTATGATTTTGTGGGCAATAAATGTTAAATGTGCAATTTAATTCCTTCCCATAAGTGTATACTACTATATATACTCAATGATTTTCTTTCCATATAAAAACTATACGTGTATAGATAGTATACTCTTTGATTTAATTTCTTCCCATTGTACCCTTAATTTGGATGAGAATTTTCCCTCCAATTGTGGTGCAAAAACTGTTACTTTATATTATATAAAGATAAAATATGACAAAGAAGCCCGTTCAAAATCACTTTAACACTGATTCCGTGTATTATCTTCAAAAATAAAAGAAGCCCAATTCTCCAGCTAAGCCCAGTCCAATTTCATATTGTTGATGCTTATCCACCACAATTTCAACATCAACTTCATCTAGATCTAGTTCTTCTTCCTCTGCCCCAATCACCATCTTCTTGTATTTTTCCACGAAACTGTTCATGTAAACCTATTGCTTTAACTTTTTGCGAGAACCTTGCCAAAATCCTCCTTGTGATCCCCTCCTTCTTCCAATAACAACAACCTTCTCGGCGCCGTACTCGCCTAAGCGAACACCGCCGGACAAAACAAGCTAGGCGTTGCCTGAGACAACAACCCTAGAGAGAGAAAGTAGGGCTTCGATACAATGACAATCAACTTTGACTAATGATATTTATTAATACGAAATTAATTTGAATATGAAAATTATATCTAAATGTTCCTTATTCAAAATATTTTCAAGTTATATACAAATATAGTAATTATAATCATTGTTCAAAGTTTGCTATAATTGACCAAAAAAAGTCAATATAGCAAACCTTTTCGAGACGGAGGTACTATATCAGTATTATTTCTTAACATTTATCTATAGGTGAGTTGCAAAAAAAAACATTTATCTATTGGTGTCAAAAGAACATTATCTATTAATCAATCAAAACAAGGCATCCCTTTACTATATTTTTCTCCGATCTTCTATAATTGTCAATTTATTATGGTCAATTTAAATCTCAGAAATGAACAAAAAACAATGATTGACCCCCCCCCCCCTCCCCCCCCCCCCCCCCCAAATCAACAAGTTTAGTTTGCAGAAATTGGAAATTTGCTTTATTCATCATAACACAGATATCGGAACTCTCATACAACACACATCCTTTCCAGTATGCACATATACTTCATACTAATTCAGAATTGTGCCAAAACATAACTAAACATAAGATATTAATTAATACATGATAATAATAATTATTTAAAGGAAAAGAGAAAATTAAGGGGGGGTTACTGCTGCCTTGGCCCTTCCCTTAAAAGTATAACTAACGTGTGCTTCCGTTTCTCCTCTTTCTTAAGCGCTCAGCGATGATAAAGGCAAGCTCCAGTGACTGAGAGGCATTCAACCTAGGGTCACAGTGTGTGTGGTAGCGAGAACTCAGATCATCAAATGTCACGGTATGTGATCCACCACCACCGATGCACTCCGTCACGTTCTGCCCCGTCATCTCTAAGTGCACCCCACCCGGGTTGCTTCCTTCTTGCTCATGAACATCGAAGAATGCCCTCACTTCCGCCTGTATATATGTATGATCAATCAATAAGCAACTTATTTTATGGGTAGTTGAACTGTTAAGCAAATCCAACCACTTTAACCATTCTACGTCTTGCCATAGCCCCTTCACCATTTACCATTGTCAACAGCCTTTGCCAAAATCATTTCATGCATCTTCTTGGAAAAGAACAGCAAAATCTAATACAGGTTCTTAGAACCAATTCAGTAGGCTTTGGTTTTGAATTATCCACCAGTGTTTAGGAGCACTAACTAACTAACTATTGCAAAATTTTGCAAATGTACCCCCCCCCCCCCCAATCGAACTGGTGATGAAATAATTGAAAATTGATAATTTTATCTTTTTTAACTATTATTAAAACCTATATTTTTAAGATTAAGAAATATGGAGTAACTTGTGTAAGCTGAACCAAACAGGCTCAAGAACAACAAAACTAAAGCACCTACCCACCGAGACACAACAACCTTTCAACTACCCATATGTGATGCTAACAAGTACGGGTGGGGCTGATTTCTGCCCAAGAGACTAAAACACGCCTTCACTAAGCTCTTCTTTATAAATACGGAGTAGAAACGGAATATTCTCTTGGAATTTTCATGTTCTCCTTTTCCCAATTTCCCAGCTAGATACTATCTTGTCGTTACTCTTCTTTATACTCCGTACTACAATAGGGACTACTTTTGGCAGGCCCCACACCCCACAGGAACGGCAGGCAATTATCAACTTATCAGTTATCAAATAATTCATTTAATACTACTCCGAAAGCAAATTACAAGATCCCCACCAACAATTATTGGTGATGTAAGTCATGTAACTGTTCAATTATAGAACTTAATGTAGTTGAAAGCTATGACCTAAAATGCATGCGATGTTCCATATACAATCCCAACTTCGTGTAGGCATTGCGACCTTATATACTTCATATAGCAATTTTAAAATGTGACACATAATAAGAGGAAAAAATGTCTTTTACAAGAAACTATATTTTATGTATGAAAAAATATTAAGGATATATATATACGCATTTATATATAAATATAAACGTAGGGTGAGGTTCCGGTGAGAACACTTCTTAACGTGAGAAATGAGAACGCTCCAAAACGATGCGCTTAATCATTCACGAAAATGCACATTTATAGTTAAAGTATTGCAAAATTCTAATGTGCACGTTTACGTGTAAACTTTTGCACACTTGAAATGCACATTTTCCAATTTTTACATGCACATTTCTGTTTTACTTGATGCACAATGCCAAAACCCAAAGCTCAAAAATCATTCCCATTTCTCACGTTAAGAAGTATTCTCATTTGATCCTTACTATATAAACATAAATATATCCAACTTTGTATAAGCATTGCGACCTTATATACTTCATACAACAAACTTTGACTTTTTGAGTCAAACTTTGTTAACTTTGACGGCTAATTATTCAAAAATCGTATCACTTTATAATACCAAAATAATTTTGAATACTTCATTTTAATACATATTTCATTAGTTTATTATAAGTTTTATAAATGTATATTTTTATATATTCATGTTCAAACGTCGATATTGGAGACCATGAAAGTCCAACTGTGAACTTAAATAAGGGACGAAGGTAGTATAAAGACTTTGTATCGAATGAACAAGTGTTCTTAATGTGAAAAATAAAAACTTCCACCACAGACAACGTAAATGTGCACATCCCACCCTACACACATATACAGAGTATGAATTAGAGATAGCAAAGTGAATATTTACCCTGATAGCATCAAAAGGTCGAGTCTTAAGACCGCATGGAGCTTTAATGGTGTTGCCATGCATTGGATCTGAAACCCAGGTGACAATTTGACCCGCTCCTCGGACGGCCCTAATTAAATGAGGAAGCTTGACCCTCATGTTTTCTGCTCCCATCCTTGTTATGATTGTAATCCTTCCCGCTTTGTTCTGGGGATTCAAAATCTCAATGAGCTTCACCAGCTCATCTGGATTCATTTTATCACTTACCTTAATCCCTAGAGGATTAGCGATTCCCTTCAAGAACTCAACATGTGCACCACCTAGCTGCCTGGTTCGTTCCCCGGCCCATACGAAATGAGCAGAGCAGTCATAGTAAAGCCCAGATGTTGAATCCAGTCTGGTAAGCGACTGTTCATAAGGCAAATGCAAGCATTCATGCGATGTCCAAAATTCAGTGGTTTTCATGATGGGATGCTCCATTGTAAGACCAGCAGCAGACATGAACCCAAGGGCCTCATCTACTCTATGAGCCAGTTCTCGATACCTGAAAGAAAGAACTCACAGATTATTATGTATCCTTGACTTAACTTCAGACTACCAAGAAATTAGAAAACAGACAGATATTTATAGCTTATGAATCATTAAATTCTACTGGATCTAATGCTAACATGAGTGTGAGCCTATAGTTCTCAGGCATAAATCTAAGGCAGGCGCATATGAACCAATCAGAGTCCCTTTAGGATCTTTTTGGAACCGACAAAGTGCTGCAGAAAGGAAATGAGGAGGAAAATAGAAAATGAAAATTTGGAAGGGAATAAAATATGGGGGAGGGGAATTATCATCTCCCTTAAATTCTTCAATTTCTTTTTTCAGTAATGTTTGATGTACACATTATTTGTACACGTTTCGTGCATTTTTGTGTATCATAGACATTTATTACAAAATTACCAACAACTTCTGCACTTCCAAATTGTCCCCAATACCTACAAAATTTACGGTATACACAGAAATGTGTACAAATAACTTTTTCTTCCTTTTTTATGTTTATTAATAGTCATCCCATTGACAATTTTGCAACCAAAATCATATCAAATACATAGATATACTTACTTTTTCATCTTTTCTTTCTTACTTTTCTATCGTTTCATCATACTTTTGCACTTAACCTAAGACTTCGCACCCCACTATTTGCTATAGATACAACTTTACTTTTGATTCCCGTGCAAAACTTAACAGAGGAAGTAAGAGTGAACAAATCACTTATTATTATACAAAAAATCAAAAACTATGAAAAAGCAAAAAAAGAAAACGTTTTCTTGACATTTTTTTCCAATTCCCTACTATTTCTCCGGTTCCAGACACGGCCTTAAAACTCAAGAAAGTGTCTCATACAGTCATACAAAAAACTAAAGTACAATATACTTTACTACGTATTTACATAATAAAAGACAGAACACCCAAACTTATGTTCTTATTATGAAGTATGAACCTTGCAAGGGTAACTAATGCTCTTATTTATGGAAAAATAGATTTTACTATATACCTATCACCCTGCTCACTGTGTTCTGTGAAGTCCATGTTCCATTGGGTGACCCTCTGCATAGCAGCATACCCTCCTGTAGCAAAAGCCCTCAACAGATTGAGAGTAGCTGCAGATTGGCAGTATGCTCTGATCAGCCTTTGTGGGTCTGGAGTCCTTGATTTTAAATCAAATGCATCTCCGTTCACGTTGTCACCCCTGTAACTTGGCAACTTAACTCCATCCTTCTCCTCCATTGATTCTGATCTTGGCTTCGCAAACTGCCCAGCCATTCTTCCCACCTAATCATAATATCCACGATGAATTTCATATACATCCATAAACGCACCTTTGTAACTAATCATATTATAATAAACACAAACACCTAGGATTCAACCAGGTTTAAATACTTTTGCGGCACAATTCAGCTCAAAAACTAATTTTAATTCGTACGAGAGAATTGTATTACCTTGATTACAGGCATTTGACCGCCGAACATTAGAACGGCGCCCATTTGGAGGATGATTCGAAAAGTGTCCCGAATGTTATTGGCATTGAACTCCTTGAAACTCTCCGCACAATCTCCGCCTTGGAGAAGGAAAGCCCTGCCCATTGCGGCCTCCCCGAGTTTCTCCTCGAGGCTGCGCGCCTCCCCGGCGAACACGATCGGAGGGAATGACTCGATGGTTTTAAGCACCGATTCGAGCTCTGCCTGATCCGGGTACTCGGGGAGTTGCAGCGCCTTCTTGGATTTCCAGCTCTCGGGGGACCATGCCGTATTCTCCTCAACGGGTTTGGAAACGGTTGTAGTCGCCGCCCCCCTGGCCGTGGTGGCAGCGGGAGGGGCGGGTTTGGAGGATGACTTGCCGGAAACAATGGGGGATTTGGAGGAGTCGGCAGATTGCACGGCGGAGATGGGTTTGATGGATCTGGCCGGCCTGGTGGAGAAAACATGGTTGTGGGAAGGTGAAATAGGTTGTTGGGTTTGAAGAAAGGTTTTGTTTGGGAGCAGAGAGCTGGCATTGGTGAGGGATTGAGCCATTTTTGTTTGGTGCACCTAAACCTTGAAGGAGAGAATGAGTGGCACCTGAGAATCCCAGAGAGAAATGGCGGATGGTTTTATAAGGGAGGTTTGGTTTTGGTGGGTGAAGAATTGAAATTTGAAGACGGCAGGCATGGTTGGAGTTGGGGCAGGACAAGTGCCTACGTCACTGCGTGGTAGTTGAGAGGGACATTATGGTAAATTGCACATCGGTGTTGACAAGTCAAAGATGCTTCTCCAACTTGCTCCTTCGCCCCAAGTCAAAATAATATTCTACGTGTACATGTTAATCCACATAGTAACTAATTAATTAACTAATTTAACATAGAGTATATGATAATTCTTGTATTTGATATACTCCGTATGTACTTTTTTATGGGATACTCCGTATATACTTAATATGGTAATCTTTCCACCTACATGCTCATTTAAATTATAAACCTATAAATGCTCCCTTCGTTCTCTATTACTTGTCCTCATAGACTAATCGTAACTTAGCTCCGTTGATGAATTAAATTTCATATCAGTTTATACGTGATGAAATATAATTCCAGTGAAAAGAACTTAATTGATCAAGTGTTTACTGATCGTAGGAAAGAAAGTAATAAAAGTATTCTTCGGAAAGGCCCCTTTACAAGAGATGTACAAGAGTATTTATAAGATACAGAAACTAGTATTCTAGTATGAAACTGATACAATAAATGCTATTAATTGCATATTAATTCGAATAGGACTCTTGTAACGTCTTAGCCATTGCTAGATAGCTATGTTAGAATGATAGACTGCCACGTAAGCCCTAGGAATCTCTCGGTCTCATTAGAACTCTGCTCAGGCTCGAGGTCTGCTGTCCAGCCTGCCTGGTTATGGGTTCCTTTCGTGGATTGGATCCAGTGCAGCATCCCTGTATTTGTGCATCCGGGCTTCTTTGGCGTCATATTCCCCTCTAAGTTGTTTGATGACCAACTTAGAGTCACTCTTGATCCTTAGCTTTTGGACTTTGAAGTACCTCACTATCTGAGGCCTGAAAGTAAGGCCTCATATTCTTCTTCATTATTGGATAGATTGAATAAGTACCTGAGGGCATGGTATGTCTTGAAGCCTTCAGGGGTGATGAGTACCACCCCTCCCCCGCAACCTTTGGACCCTAATGATGACCCATCAGTCATGAGGGTCCACCAATCTTCTTCGTCATAGCATCTTTCTTCTGCCACATCTCTGGCAGTTCATTCCACCAAAAAATCTGCCATTACTTGGCCTTTGATTGATGTTCTAGGTTGGAAACCTACTTGATATTGGCTGATGAGCAGGGAGCACTTCACAACTCGCGTTGTCTTGGCTGTTCTGAACAGGGTTCCCACTCCCAGATCTGATAAGACCTTGATGGGGTGGGCTTGGAAGTAATGGGCGAGTTTCTTTGTTACAACATAGACTGCGAATGCGGTCTTCTCTAGGGTTGGATATCTGAGCTTGGCGCCTGCTGTCCAGGTTGGCTCAGGCGTGGTTGACCTCATGATGGGCCAGGATCCTCCTGTTCAGGCCCTTGTGACTCGTTCTTGAGCCTTAAGGAGAGTCTGACCTCCACGGGCTAACCACTGGGCCTGGCGCCTGCTGTCCAGGTCGGCTCAGGCGTAACCAGCCTCGTAGGGGGCTTGAATCTCCCTTTTCAGGCTTTTATGGCTTCTTCATTAATCCTTCACCTGGGCTGAATCGGAATGAAGTATTAGTTTTTGTATCTGGGCTATGGGTCAGGCCATAGTACCATCACGAACATAGACTGTGAATGCGGTCTTCTCCAGGGCTGGATATCTGAGCTCAGCCCCATGGAGAACCTTGCTGACATAGTAGACCGGCCTCTGCGTGGTCCCTTTTTCTCTTACTAAAACAGAGCTTCCTGCGCTTTGGGAGACTCCCCATTATAGAGTAAGTGTCTCGCCAACCTCCAGTTTGCTGAGAAGCATATCTGACTGTAGGTATCTTTTGAGGTCTTCAAACGCAGCCTGGCATTCCTTTTTCATAATGTTGAACACTTCCCTGAGATCATCTGCATGATCGCCTGAGTTTCTACTTTTCATAATCTTGTCGTCGACGTAGGCCTCCGTGTTCCTTCCGAGTACCGCTCGAAAGACATTGGCCAGAGTTCCTTAATCCGAAAGCCATCACCACGTAACAAAAGACTCCTTCTGGTGTGATGAATGAGGTCTTCTCAGCATCATCTGGGTGCATGGAGATCTGGCGGTACCCCCTGAATGCGTCCATGAAGGAAAGAAGCTCACATCCGATGTCTTCAACTGGCTGATTGCTCAGTCAAATATCCGAAAGGAATAGTTGAAGCCGTCTTGGTCAAGGTTGACAAATACATTTTCCCAGTCGACTTTGTAGTAATGGACATGGAAGAGGATAGGAAAACACCTCTTATTATGGGAAGGCCCTTTCTGGCTACCGCCAGGGCCTTGATTGATGTCACTAATGGCTCACTAACTCTAAGAGTTGGAGATGATTTATGCACCTTCCGACTCTCAGATGTTATGAAACACCCCACATATTCCTTTCAAGGATGTCATTTTCTTGATACTTTTGAATCAATTGAAGGGTATCTGTTTGGGAAGAGAATGGACATGTAAGTGATGAATCATGTCTGTTAAAAGAAGCCGACAGTGACATGAGAGATGCATGTGAGAGTTGTGAGGATGCACTAATTGAGCAAGCGTCTCACGAAGTATTGACTGAGTTCGAGGGGGAGAAAAATGAACAAAACTTAAGAAATGACCGCCCCCTCGAACTAAAGAAACTTCATGACCATTTAGAATATGCATTCTTGGATGAAGAAGGCAAGTGCCCTGTCGTCATCGCCGCACACTTAAGTGAGGAACAAAGGGACAAATTACTTGAAGCCCTTAAGACACACAAGCAAGCAATTGCTTGGAAACTTGAGGACATCAATGGAATAAATCCCACCTTTTGTACCCACACCATCAAGATTGAGGAAGGGTTTAAACCTGTTGTCCAATCACAACGACGTTTGAACCCAAACATGATAGAAGTAGTGCGTGCTGAAATTGTCAAAGTGCTGGATGCGGGTATCATTTACCCCATCTCTGATAGCCAGTGGGTAAGCCTGATTCATGTTGTCCCCAAAAGGGGGGGGATGACTGTCACGAAAAATGAAAAGGGTGAACTTCTGCCCAGTCGAACTATTACCGGGTGGCGAATGGTAATTGATTACCGCAAACTGAATGAAGCCACCCGAAAGGACCATTTTCCCCTCCTCTTCATCGATCAATTAATAGAGAGGTTGGCAGGCCATAGTCATTATTGTTTCCTGGATGGCATGAGTGGATACTTCCAAATCCATGTCAACCCGGAAGACCAAGACAAAACTACGTTCACATGCCCTTTTGGGACCTTTGCTTTTCGTAGGATGTCTTTTGGTCTCTGTAATGCCCCTGTCACCTTCATGAGGTGCATGATTGCCATATTTGAAAAATACATCAGCCACTTCGTGGAGGTATTCATGGATGATTTCTCTATTTTTGGGGAATCCTTTGAAAAATGCCTTGAAAATCTAGAAAAAGTACTTATCCGCTGCAACAAAACCCACTTAGCCTTAAGTTTGAAAAAATGTCACTTCCTTGTGAAAGAGGGTATAGTACTTGGACACAAAGTGTCAAGTAACGGGGTCGAGGTTGACTGTGCGAAAATTGAAACGATAGAGAAACTTCCTCCACCAACCACGGTAAAAGCCATCCGCAGTTTCTTGGGACATGCGGGCTTTTATCGTCGTTTTATAAAGGATTTCTCTAAAATCGCAAAACCTCTCACCCGGTTGCTTGAAAAAGATGCGGTTTTTATATTCTCTAATGAATGTCACAAAGTTTTCCAAACACTTAAAACACAACTGATCAATGTTTGGGTACTTGTGGCCCCGGATTGGAGTTTACCTTTTGAACTCATGTGTGACGCTAGTGACTTAGTAGTGGGGGTCATTCTCGGCCAAAGGAAGGACAAGAACTTCAACCCAATCTACTATGCTAGCAAAACTCTGTCAGGGCCACAACTGAACTACACCACCGCTGAAAAAGAATTCCTTGCTATTGTTTGTGCTTTAGAGAAGTTTAGGACTTACATCATTCTTTCGAAGGTTATTATCTATACCGATCATTCGGCCATTAGATATCTCTTCCAAAAGCATGATGCTAAGCCTAGACTGTTACGCTGGATTCTTTTGTTGCAGGAATTTGATATTGAAATCAGGAACCGGAAAGGGTCTGCTAATCAGGCAGCTGATCACCTCTCGAGGTTAGATGTCGAATTAGCAAAAACCATTGGAAAATGCGAAGTGGTGGAACTTTTTCCTGCGGATAGGTTGATGGCAATATCTGCCAATGAACAAACATCATGGTATGCAGACATTGCTAACTACCTTGTTGGTAACGTCGAACCTACTGACCTAACAAGGCACATGAAGAGGCAGTTCCTGTCAGAAGCAAGACACTATTTTTGGGATGATCCATATCTATTCCGAATTTGTGCTGACAAGGTGGTGAGAAGATGCGTTACTGAAGCTAAGGGAAGAGACATACTGAAGCATTGTCACAGCGGTCCTATTGGGGGCCACTTTTCAGGGAATAAATGTCACGCCCCAGACCGCATCCGGGCCACGTAGACAACCGCCATACAACCCGATAAGAACAATAACAGTTCATTCCTATTGAATTGTACAAGGCGTCCGATTGATTCTATCGCCAAACCGATTAGTAAACACATATAATCAACGTCAATATCATAATCAAACAAATGCGGAAATAATAATATGTTTGATACTTAGCCATACGTGGCAAACACGGGCACGCAGGCCCCCAAATGTTTTAAGGAAAACATTGTTCGAAAATCCATGAGCAGTTTATAAATTTGAAATAAGAATGGAAGCACGAACCACATCTTCCTTCTTGATCAGCCACCCTAGGCAAAGGTGCGGGTAGTAGGACTCTAGCTTTAACCTGAAAAATGTGAGGACCCCTGGAGGGGTCAGTACTCCATAGAAGTACTAGTGACAATCAGGCTATATGAAGAATAACTAATGTTTCAGACACGAGACCAAAAAATAGGGTGATATATATATATATATATATATATATA